ATCATATGAAAAATATATGAATTGATCGACAAAGAGGCGTAAATTTCTATTTCCAAATTTGGAAAGATCCCTGACTGAATTATGTGTCAATCACTTAATTTTGATAAGTGTAACCCCCTTAATGAATATTCATGAATATGATGATTGTGATCACTATTTCTGACGATCCATTCTTACACCATTGATAAAGAAGGTAAAAAAAAGTTAGAACTTTTGGAAATCTACAGCAATATTTTTTGTGCATATTGGTAAGCAGAGTGTACACGCGAAGAATCACAATGAGTGAAACCATCGCACTTCTCCTCCCCATCAGGTTAGAAAGCACCCAACCCTCCTCGAAAGCACCGAGGGGCGTAGTACACCCAGTCAACATAAACACGCGAAAGGATCACAGCGAGTGAAGCCATCGCGCTTCTCTTCCCCATCAGGTTAGAAAGCACCCAACCCTCCTCGAAAGCACCGAGGGGCATAGTTACAAGCTGACAAGCAGTCTTGCTCAACACTCCCTCTTTCACATAAACTAACCTTTAATTGTTTCTGTAACGATCGCACTTTTTCTACCACCATTTGATCAGATGTTCTGGAGAGAATGTTCAACTCGGTAGCTAATGAAGTATGGGCTCGATCTTGCTTATGATGTAAATTTGGATTTTGTTGGATCCAAAATATATCGAATGACTCAACAGACCATTTCCGAAAGCTGGTACTTGACCAATATTCCGCAAATCGAAAAGTTATAAGCAGTTTATGATATTGTGCGTGCTATAATTGAAAGCTCACCTTCATAATAGAGATCAGATGGAATGAAAATTGTATTTTGTTTAGCATTGGACTCTGACATCTTAGAGAAAAAACAATTTGAGAAAGTAAAAAATTTTTGGAGAGTTATGAGATCTTTGAACTTTTGTTGCACAGCCTTATTAGTGTCACACGACCTGCTGATTATCTCGATAATCTAAAAATAATTTCGTTCCACAGCTCCATAACACACCGATTATTTATCTGATTGATCAAAAATTACATGTTATACAGGTTTATCGAATTGAAACAAAAAACTTTATTATTTATGTTTTGAAGAGCTGTGACATCAATGTAGGGATGGGTTGGTTTCGCTAATAAACGGTTTTGAAACCAATCCCTGGTTTTTTTTTGGTTTGGTTTTTGGAACTGTTCAAACTGGTTACACATGATCAAAATGTGACACAAATAGTTTATTAAAATTTATTTTATTTAAAAATATCATATATCTATCTATATAAATGATTAATAATCCAACTTTTCATACATAAGCATGCTCTTGCAGTTTCTGGTAACAAACTATTTCGAGTTTTACTAATTGTATTTCCAGAAACTGAGAATGCCTGTTCTCTAGTTGCTTGAATGGTAAGATAATTTTGTGCCATATTACTTACAATTGGGTATTCTTTTGCATGTGCCTGCCACCATAATAGAGGTTCTGTTTCTTCATCTATTGGTAATGCAAGATAATGATTTAATTCTGATATTAAAGATGCTGAAGCAATTTGTGGTGTTGGGTTATGAAGAAGTTGTGTGAAAAGTCAATGAGTTGCATTTATGGTAGATGTAGATGATGATAATCTTCTTGCAAGAGATTGTGTATTGGAAGAATTCTGGTAAGTTTCAAAAATTGCTTGAATATGTTCACAAGCATTTTGTCTATTTCCT